GCACCCACTTTCATTTTTCAAATGACCGATAACAACTGTCCAAGTGACAGATAAGCTAACCAGCTGATTTGATTCTATGTACATCTACAAATTCAGCTGCTCGTGTGAGGGAAGTCATAGAATGCGAAAAACTACACAGCTTATGAAATCCATTTGTGGTTCGGAAATTGTCAGTCGAATCTATGAGAGGCTATATTTTGTCTGAGATTTTCTGGATAGTGTTTACCAAGTAGAAAGAAAAGGCGTATTCATCGCTATCCATCGTGATCCATCGAATCATTCGAACGGAATTTGAAGTCTTCTCTTATGCAGGGTAAAATCTATGAGAATTCATGAAGACAATGCTAGTCTTTGTATGCAAACGATGTTCGTTCTTTCTTTGTCTTTCTGTAGGCCTACATGAATTTAATGACCTACTTGGAACTTCACGCCATTTCATGTCATTTTACTCCTCTCGTACTTATATCATATTCATTTAAAAGCCGGTCTTCTATATATCCGATTCATCACTGTCATTACTCCACTTTTAATTGTCCAAGATTTTGGCCTAATTTAATTATGGAATGAAAACGACCTTGACGCGATTTTCGAATAGTGCGCTTCATTATTTTACTTTCGAACACTGAACCTTTGGATATAATCTTGTTGACTTATAAAACCTATGACTAAATGTTTAGTATATATTGACTGTTTCATGCGAACTAATATCTATAATTGTATATATTGTTGGATTTACATACCCAAGTTTAACCGAGTCAGTGAGTTTATGATTTTGATATCACTTTTGTTAACTGTATTTGGCAGAGATACTACTGCCACGAGTTCTTTTGTTGGTGCTGTCACTGCCGTTTCTGTTGTGAATTTTCTTCCTTTTTCTGGTGTTATTCCGACTGCTTTATTCCTTGTTTTCATGAATCTCTGTAAAATATACATTCATGTAACAACCCACTTATCAGGCGTGAGGCTAGTAACCCTACTCTCTAAACAAAACTGCTACAGGAACTTCAGTACGATGAGTCTCTTTGTGACAAAAGAGGTCTATGTGGGGACATGAAACGTCCGCAACATGTATGAGACTAGCAAAGCTGACCAGATTGCATACGAGATGAAAGACATGGTATTCAAGTAATGGGAATATGTGAAACCAAATGGAATGGGATTGGACTCACCAAATTGTCAATGGGAGAGTCGATGATCTACTCCAATCACCCAGAAGAAAACCATCAGCACACCGAGGATGTGGCTATCATTGATGTCACCGACGGCAATGAGGGCACTGATGCAATGGGAGGCCATCTCGCCCAGGATAGTCACCGCCAGATTCAACTCAAACGGAAGGAAAGTGACAGTTATACAATGCTGTACACTCACAAACAACGCGGACTTCGAAAAGAAAGAAGAGTTCTACAGACAACTACAGGCAACAATGGACAGAACTCCATTCAGTGAAATTGACTGCCTAATGGGATACATGAACGCCAAACTGGGACCAGACAAAACAGGAGGAGAACGCATTATGGGTAGGGAAGCACTTGGAGAGATGTATGAAAACAGAGAACCCTTCACTGACCTCTGTGGTTTCAAGGAGCTAGTGATCGGTGGCAGCGTATAAAAACACAAAAATATCACCAAGGATACTTGATTGTCACCAAATAGGCGAACTAAAAACCAAAATGACTTCATCTCAATGCTGCTGAAGGAATTGGAGATGCAGCATACTGGACAAAAAAGTAGGGAGAGGAGCAGACGTTGGCTGAAACCACTGTCTTGTACAAAGAACACTCCAAATCAAATTTAAAACCTTCAAACCTTCAATACTCAAAAACTGTAGGATCAATATGCAAAGCATATCTTCACTGAAATCATAGGGAAAAAGGCGGAGACACAAATCAACACTAGCGAAGAGACCAGCTTTGTAAAGCACTAGAACAGCCTGGAAGCATTGTACTGTCAAACCTACATGGACGTTCTAGGCAGAAAGAGTAGACAGGACAAACAGTGGATCACTATGGACACATGGAAACAAATAGAAGAGAGAAGGATGTTGAAACAAAAGATCAAACAGTGCATCGACAAACAGCAAAAACAGGAGTTGAATGCAAGCTACAACACTCTGAAAAACAGTAAATAAGAGTACCATGGATGACAAAAGAAAATATTATGAAGCTATGGCAAGAGAAGAAGGACAAGCTGCAGGCAAAGGAGACCTCGCAACACTCCAACAAACAACTAGGTCCCTATCGTGGAAACGTTCAACACAAATTAAGCCAATGGGAAGTCAATCATCAAAGAGGTGGAGGAAAGGGCACACTGGGCTAAACACTTCAAAAGACTTCTAAATCAACCGCCACCTACAACGCGCCCAATAATACCAACAGCGGAAGCAGAACTACCAGTGGACATCAACCCTACTACGAAAACAGAAATCCTAAAGGCAATCGAGATGCTAAAACTGGAAAAGCAGCGAGACCAGACAGAATACCAACAGAGGCATTGAAAATGCACCCAGATACATCAGCGGACTTGATTATACCACCACTGGAGAATATGTGAAAAGAAGGCAAGGTACCTGCAGATTGTAAGAAAGGCTACTTATTCAAAATGCTAAAAAAAAGGGGACTTAGGTCAATGCAAGAACTGGTGCGGAATTATGCTCTTGTCCATCCTAAGCAAAATACTGAGTCGCATCATTCTGGAGCGAATTAAACACGCCACCCTGGATGAAAATCTTTGACCGTAACAGGCTGAATTCAGGAGAAACAAGTCATGTATTGATCAAATCGCCACACTACGGATCACCATTGAACATAGCTATGAATGGCAGTCACCTCTCTATCTCAACTTCGACACTATCGATCGAGAGGTGATTTGGTAACTACTTCGCTACTACGGGGTGCCGCCAACAATTGTACATCTCATTCAACAGTTGTATGACAATGTTGCATGCCAAGTAATTCACAATGGGAAACTCACTGAATCCTTCGAAGTGAAGGCGGGAGTAATACAAGGCTGGCTGCCTACTATCTTCAATGATTTTCCTCATTGCAGTAAATCTGATAATGCGACAGACAGCGGGCTATGAGGAAACAGGCATAAAATGGACCCACACAAAATACGTGGAGGATCTGGACTTCACCGATGATATATGTCTGGTTTCACACAAAGTTGAAGATATGCAAGTGAAAAGCAACAAGTTGGTAGAAGAAGCATTAAAGAAAGATATGACTTAAGGTGAACATAGAGAAAACAGAGGTGATGAAGACTACTGGCCAGCAGACACAGCACCAACAACAGGCAGCAATCAGTTGGTATGAATGGGAGAAATCTGAAAGAAGAAACGTCGTTCACCTGCCTGTCTACTTACCTGGGAAGCATAGTTTGAACTAAAGGCGGGTGGAACTGATGAGGATATCGAAGCAGCTAGGATTTAGAATGCAAGGTAAGCTTTCATTTCTCTCAAGTATGTGTGGAGGTCAACAGTACTCAGCATGGAAAATAAGATCCGGATTTTCAACTCAAATGTGACGTCAGTGCTATTTTATGGAGCAGGGACTTGGAGTGTCGTGAAGTGCACTTCGAATAAATTACACACATTCATCAACAACGGTCTTCGCTTAATAGTCAAGATCAGATGGCTGGCCAGAAATGATCAGCAACAGGGATCTCTGGAAGCGAACCAATCCAGGAGGAACCGATTGTGCAACAAATATGAAGGAAGAAATATAGGCGGATTGGCCATGATCTGAGAAAAGCAGCAAGTGGATGACACCACCCGCCAGGCCATCGTTAGAGTGGAACCTCACCGAATGAGAAGCGGCGAGTTGATCGTCAGTACGAGGGTGACATGGAAGAGCTCATGTAGAGAGGAGATGAATGCATGTAGGCAGACGTGGAGCCAGGTGAAAAGATTGACGGAGAACCGATCACAATGGAGACGTGAGGCTGAAGCTCTATGTTCCTTTGGGAACTAAAGGAAACAATAATAAATAATAGTAGTTATGGAATTTATTCCATCATCATTTATAGTATCTTCAGTATTCTTATTGGCATCTTTGTCCAGTGCTTGTTATTTTGCTACCATTAAATTCTCTATCTCCATCCTTATTGCTATTAATGTTACCATCCTCGTTACTGCTAACATATCGTTATGTTTGCAACTCACATAGTGATTCACAACTTCACCTTCATTGGTTGGACAGAATTTTTCTCCATCAGGTCATGTACATTCGAGTAAAGATTGAGTGAAGATCTAGTTGAAAATAGTTTTTATTGTTCGCTTATATGATTTGTAATAATTTACATGTTAGGCAGATTGAATAGTGAACGACGTGTATGATTAACCCTTAAGAAATTGCTGAATACCAAATATGCTGACTGGAATGTTGTTCACCTCATCTAACAGTCTTTAATATGATGCTTCGACTTTACCCATTTCGGAAAACCGAATCTATAGAAACTAACAAAGTAATCCTAGTGTCTGTGTTCCAAAGTCATTTTCTCTGTTGTCATCTCTCTCTCTCGCCCACCCTCTTGATCACTAAGGACCTAATGAACAAATCCACTGTCGAAGCATTTCATCTCTTTCATAAGTTCATTATATATTCACTAAGCCACTGACTGTTGAATTTCTGCATCTTAAATAAGTATTACGGGACCACTTTGTTTCTTCTAGGATTTCGATATCAGTCGATTATTGATATTTCTATATTGTGGTATGCCGTTTTCATCCCATTCATGGTCACCTGTGTTAACTACTTACAGCTTTGTCATAGTAAATATAATTATGAACATATTCTCTTGCTGATTGCAGCCATTTTTATTGACGCATTCCACTGACCTGCAAATCAACAGCGGTGACTAAATTTTGGATTTGCGCATATTAGAATAAAACCTGAGACTGATCAAAATGAAATCGAAATTGTCCAGCAGTATGTCCAACTGGTTGGATCAAGTCACTGCAAATCACACATCTGGAAAATAACAGTGATATTTCGGAATTACACGCCTTTTGTGTAAAAAGTAAATTTATTTATTTAATCGGATTACAAATCATGAACACAACAGTATGAAATGTGGTTGTAGACAGTTGATCATAAAATGCACAATTTCATACTGTAATGCTTTTATACTGAAAAACAGGAAATTGGTTCAGTCAGTCCTGCTAACATAATATTTCTTTTCTCGGGTACATTTATCACTCCAAGGCTGAGTGTAACCAGAAAGATGACAAGAGCGGCATGTAAAACCATTGCAGCTGAACAGTAATCTTCATCATACTCTCTGAATTGACTTGCGCCAATTGTTGACTGACCGGCATATATGGCCATCTGATAAACATGGAAGATAAGGGAATATATGAGTGGTAATATTTTGGAAAATTTTAGTGTATTGATAAAATTTGACACATACAATGAATATAGCAAAATCGTTCATTCGGACATCTATAAAACACAAAATAATTGACCAGTGAATATCCTTTTCAATAATTTCATTCACCCAAGTGACTGGACGATGTCACATATGTGCTGAACATAATTACGAAGATCCGGATCTGCAACAGTAAATGCAAAATCAGTGGTTCTATATGTTTCAGATTGTTATGCTATCCTGAAGAGGATTTCCAAGAAGCTACAGACTTACCAACAGCTAGCGTCTCTAACTGCATACTGCAGATTTGACGGTAAGTGAAGAACCAGCTGTTAGACTACTTCATGGCTAATATGCAGAAGGAAAAGGAGATGAATTGGATATGTGATATGATGATGAGACTGCTCAGTGATACAGTGTACAACAGAGTCCTCCAAGTGGAGCCCGAATTCATAAATCAACGTGTTGGGTGTGCCTCGAAAAGTGACACGGGTGAGATCATGTAAGGAGATGATGAAAGCTTCTAGGCAGTCTTGGAGCCAACCACAAATAACTTCAGAAAACAGATTGAAACAGCGGTATGTGCGGAAATCCTAAGTTCCATCTGTAACCTGAGGGGATAATAATACTAATGATTGTAGTGTGAAATTTGGCAAAATCAGTTGCGTGTTTTTCACTAGAAGTTCCTTACTATCAATCGTAAGTGAAGTTTGAATGAGACACTGAGTGGTCATGTGATCCTCAGCTTTGATAAAGCAACTTTAATTAACAGAAATGAACATCGAAAATGAAAACTTACAGGGATTACTAAAATTGTCATACCTCCTGCCGTAATCATCAGTGACTGCATGTACTATAACACAGAAAAGATTATTGGTAGATGCATTTAGTTAACAATAAACGTATATTCAGTCAGGATATTACATGTATACATTTCTTTGTAAAATATGAAACATGCGACACTGAATAATTGTTCAAAATACCGCTTTACACCTGTTTAGTTCACATTAGTGACTTAGTCACACTAGTCACTGAATGGACAAAGTAATGGTATATTTTTATGCTTGAATCATAAATAGCTTATTCATATATTCTATCTCTTGTAAAGATAAAAATAATTATTTCCACTTACGTATCTGGTCCCAAAGTAAACCGCAAGTGTAACAGTGCCGATTAAGACTGAGAAGACAATGTAGCCTATCACCATTGCTGGGGTGCCCAAATTCAGTTGACTTTTCAACGTTGCACCTATCGATATGCATATGATGAAGAGAACCACAGCTATCGCCATCGCACCCAATACCCATCTATAATCTTTCGCAAAGTATGAGGGTTCTGCTATTACGGTGACGCAAGCGGACTACAAAAAAGGAGTGAACCGAAGACAAAAATTGTGTTTTAATAAACAAATGTTACAATAGTCTCATGAACACAATTTCACTGTGTAGGTGAATAGGCTAGAGGGTGATTCTATACAAATGTATAGGCAGCAGTAATAGGTAGTCAGTAGTATTCAGAAAGATCACCTCAGTGAAGTGATAGTTTGTAATACTTTGGCGAACTGAATGTTTCCGTAGACGCAGTTTACTGTTCGAAGTCATTGCTAGTATGAATATTACCTAATATAACATGATTTGTATACTAGATAGTTGGAGGCAATCGGCAGGAAGCCTTGCTTGACCTAGGTTTCGTGCTAGTTGGCACTCATCAGCACGGCGTATCTGCATCCTTGAAGAAACTCATGTCCTTTCTGAGATTCAAATGGACGTTACCACTGAGCTATTCGGGCACTAGACACTAGTTACTGGTGTACACTCCAAGTGATTTGAATACATCATATAGGTATGTATATCTAACCAGGAAATATGAAATATGTTATACCTGCATTACAAATCACTGAAAAAGCATAGGAACCACTATATCAAGTATCTGCCTCTTCTATATGTCCCATAAACATTGAATATTTCATTAGCAAAAGGGACTTCATTCGTGCCTGATGAAATATTCTACAGCACTTCTGAACTAAACCTATTTACTCAACATGCATTCCTACAAACTGTTTCACCTTGAATGTATGAAGAAACTACAGTACGACCGGGAAATTAAAAGCATCGTGTGTTACTTCATCTCTTTAATTCGTATTAAATACTCAGGAATGATAAAGACATCGGCTACTTACATGTAACATCGTCAACAATAAATTCACGGGAAAACGTTTCCTTATTGCGTCTGATGCGAATAGCAAAGAAATTACCGCCATTTCAACAATCCACCTAAAATGCAAGGGAAATGAACGTATGAATAAATATATTTATATATATATCGTGAATTATAAAAATTATGCACGATTACGAAAATATAAACCCCACACTGAAATCCCTGAATAATGAAAACAAAATCGCTATCACTATTCATTTTATAACTGAGGTTGGACATAATCATGCTCTTCTTTTCACTATGTTTATCAGTCTCTGCAAAGTTGGTGATTTATGTGGAAACCTTTTGATATATAAGAAAATAGAGGTGATATCACAAGTGTTCTTGTAGTTGACTCGACTTAAATTTTCGTTTCGCATCACAGTCTACACTCTATCCTATCAAATTGCATGTTCAGCATTTGCACAAAACACTACAACATAATGCACTGAGTCACACGTAAAATGGAAGTTCTAGCTATTCGAATTATTGTGAGACGTGATACTCTCGGCTTTAGTAAACCTGTGGATGTGAAATAGGTAAGTTGATAGTGTGTTTTGATAACATTTTGATATGTGTCGAGAAAAGACTGGTATATGTCAATCATGCCTTCAATAACAATCTGAAGTAATATTCCACTCTCATGTAGGATGCTCGAAAGTGACTTATAATGTTGCTATCGAAAATCAAACAGGATTATGCGTTGAAACGAAAATTAGAAAATGACTGTAATGAGGAAGTATCAAGTATGTAGCCTAGTGTAATATGGTCAATGCATAACACACATCATAATATTCAATAAAATTTATTGAACTCAATTTTAACTAGTTGTCTGATAAACACACTGTACGATATATGAGATGGCAGTCACCAGCGAATATTCTGTTCTAGATCTTGAAGAAGAGCGTAGCACGCTATTCGGTTATGTGCAGTTCAACAGTAGCTTTGATTTCATCAGACATTTGAAGTGGAGAACGCATAAAGAATCATTTCTCAGCAGCGTTTCATCTGACGAAAATGTGTAGTATGAGAAATTTGATAAGTTTAATCAGTCAGTATGCTACGGATATGCATATCTTACCCTAAAATGTCTAAAATGAGAAGACAAAATCATTATTGCCTCTCATTTTATAATGGCGGTTGGAGAGGATTCTCCACTTGCACTTAGATAGCCGATATCTTGATTGAAACCATCCACGTCACAGCTTACATCATGTTTTGTCGGATTGCTTCATTACAACTTGTACAAAACGCTACAGCATACTGCACTGAGTCACACAGATAACGGTTCAACTGATCCGTTTTAATTTGATTTTTGATATGAATGTGTGCGGTTTCCTATCCACTGAACAGCTGCAAACCTCACTTATATTTTCTGTAAACCTGAAGTAATATTCCTCTTGATGTGTAATGTTGGAAGACAACTTATGATGTCACTACCGTATATCAGGTATGAATATGAGATGAATCAAAAACTAGAAGACCATTCTGATAGTAAAATATAAAATGTCGAACTGAAAGTGACCAGTTTATAATAATAGTAATAATATATACATATAGATTTTAATGCAATTTAATAAACTCAATTTCATTATCTGTGTAATGAACGCACAGCACGACAAAAATTATTGTAGCCGCTATCCGAGCTTTTCCGTGAGTTTTTGGTCTGAAAGATAATTAATTATTCATTTATGTATGTTGACATACATCAACGTCAGAGCAGGTGTTATGGCTAGTGTGATAGTGCATATCGCAGCAAGACAACCTAAAACCTACAACAAGTAGTTATATTCATCACTGGATAGTAAACTCACTTTTTTCTGGAAGTCGTCCAGCACTTCAAATTCATGACTAATTAAAACGGAATTCACTGCAGCTTTCTTATCACCCATCTTCTTTGATAATTCTGTTAAAATGTATAAATTGTAACATGACAGTTATATAGAATATGTATGACAGTATATTTCGATGTGTGAGTGTGAAACTAAGGCTGATAATCGTAATTTGTACAGCAGAAAATGAAAATGCACTCCACTAGTTATATGAAGACGAATTCAATACTACCTGCTCTGCTGTCATCGAGTGAGCAGCGATTCTAGTACAGTAGGCAAACAAACCCAATACTAGCCATATAGCTGTACATATATACATCACTAAGTGGATCACTGAAATGTTTCGTAGAATATAAAATTAATGACTACATATATGATTTCTACATGAGAATAGGATCATATTTTCCAGTGAGAGGCGATGGAATTTATATTTCCTCTGGAGAATTAGGTGTCGTGTCATTGAGAAAAAGCGATCAGAGACAAATAGGTCTTAATTTCCGAGGTATGAAGAGAACGAGGTTATCTGGTAGAGAACTCAAATTCATGAAGAACACAGAAAGCTATAAATATTTACCTAATAATAATAATAAATTTACCTGATTTCATCTGCGCGGTGTTATAAGGTGAATGTTGATTTCAATGTATTTATAATAGATCCTTATCTTTTTATTTACCCAAGTCAGTATGAGCGAAAAGGAGTGCAAAAAATAAGCTTGTTTTTTTCAAGAAGAAGATAAGCGTGAATGAACTCTGCCCATCAGGTAAACAAGTACAGTTGATTACATAACAAACAGGAAGGCAATTAATGCATAGCCCTTCACACACAATTTAGTGTTCAAATATACAAACGAATGATTATCTCCAGCCTAAAAATGATATGAAACTTTGCTTGAAATCACATGATTGTCACACACCACGTAGGCGTATCTAAC